GGGGCTGGGGGTCCCCGTCACTGTCTCCGTGGGGCTGGGGGTCCTCATCCCCCCCCTCGGTGTCTCTGTGGGGCTGGGGGTCCTCGCTCCCCCCCTCGCTGTCTCCATGGGACTGGGGGTCCCTCTTGGTGTCTCCGTGGGGCTGGGGGTCCTCGTCCCCCCCTCGCTGTTGTTATGGGTCTAGGGGTCCTCCTCGGTGTCTCCGTGGGGCTGAGGGTCCCCCTTGCTTTCTCCATGGGGCTGGGGGTCCCTCTTGGTGTCTCAGTGGGGCTGGGGGTCCTCATCCTCCTCCTCGCTGTCCCCATGGGGCTGGGGGTCCCCTTTGCTGTCCCCATGGGTCTAGGGGTCCTCGTTCCCCCCCTTGCTCTCTCCGTGGGTCTGGGGGTCCTCCTCGCTGTCTCCGTGGGGCTGGGGGTCCTCATCCCCCCCCTCGCTGTCTCCGTGGGGCTGGGGGTCCCCGTTGCTGTCCCCGTGGGGCTGGGGGTCCTCATCCTCCCCCTCGCTGTCCCCATGGGGCTGGGGGTCCCCCTCGGTGTCGTTATGGGTCTAGGGGTCCCCCTCGCCTTCTCCGTGGGGCTGGGGGTCGTCGTCCCCCCCCTCGGTGTCTCCGTGGGGCTGGGGGTCCTCGTCCCCCCCCTCGGTGTCCCCATGGGGCTGGGGGTCCTCATTCCCCCCCTCACTGTCGTTATGGGTCTAGGGGTCCTCCTCGCTGTCTCCGTGGGGCTGGGGATCCCCCTCGTAGTCCCCATGGGGCTGGGGGTCCTTGTCCCCCCCGTCACTGTCTCTATGGGTCTAGGGGTCCTCATCCTCCTCCTCGCTGTCTCCGTGGGGCTGGGGGTCCCCCTCAGTGTCTCTGTGGGGCTGGGGGTCCCCGTCACTGTCTCCGTGGGGCTGGGGGTCCTCATCCCCCCCCTCGGTGTCTCTGTGGGGCTGGGGGTCCTCGCTCCCCCCCTCGCTGTCTCCATGGGACTGGGGGTCCCTCTTGGTGTCTCCGTGGGGCTGGGGGTCCTCGTCCCCCCCTCGCTGTTGTTATGGGTCTAGGGGTCCTCCTCGGTGTCTCCGTGGGGCTGAGGGTCCCCCTTGCTTTCTCCATGGGGCTGGGGGTCCCTCTTGGTGTCTCAGTGGGGCTGGGGGTCCTCATCCTCCTCCTCGCTGTCCCCATGGGGCTGGGGGTCCCCTTTGCTGTCCCCATGGGTCTAGGGGTCCTCGTTCCCCCCCTTGCTCTCTCCGTGGGTCTGGGGGTCCTCCTCGCTGTCTCCGTGGGGCTGGGGGTCCTCATCCCCCCCCTCGCTGTCTCCGTGGGGCTGGGGGTCCCCGTTGCTGTCCCCGTGGGGCTGGGGGTCCTCATCCTCCCCCTCGCTGTCCCCATGGGGCTGGGGGTCCCCCTCGGTGTCGTTATGGGTCTAGGGGTCCCCCTCGCCTTCTCCGTGGGGCTGGGGGTCGTCGTCCCCCCCCTCGGTGTCTCCGTGGGGCTGGGGGTCCTCGTCCCCCCCCTCGGTGTCCCCATGGGGCTGGGGGTCCTCATTCCCCCCCTCACTGTCGTTATGGGTCTAGGGGTCCTCCTCGCTGTCTCCGTGGGGCTGGGGATCCCCCTCGTAGTCCCCATGGGGCTGGGGGTCCTTGTCCCCCCCGTCACTGTCTCTATGGGTCTAGGGGTCCTCATCCTCCTCCTCGCTGTCTCCGTGGGGCTGGGGGTCCCCCTCAGTGTCTCTGTGGGGCTGGGGGTCCCCGTCACTGTCTCCGTGGGGCTGGGGGTCCTCATCCCCCCCCTCGGTGTCTCTGTGGGGCTGGGGGTCCTCGCTCCCCCCCTCGCTGTCTCCATGGGACTGGGGGTCCCTCTTGGTGTCTCCGTGGGGCTGGGGGTCCTCGTCCCCCCCTCGCTGTTGTTATGGGTCTAGGGGTCCTCCTCGGTGTCTCCGTGGGGCTGAGGGTCCCCCTTGCTTTCTCCATGGGGCTGGGGGTCCCTCTTGGTGTCTCAGTGGGGCTGGGGGTCCTCATCCTCCTCCTCGCTGTCCCCATGGGGCTGGGGGTCCCCTTTGCTGTCCCCATGGGTCTAGGGGTCCTCGTTCCCCCCCTTGCTCTCTCCGTGGGTCTGGGGGTCCTCCTCGCTGTCTCCGTGGGGCTGGGGGTCCCCCTCAGTGTCTCTGTGGGGCTGGGGGTCCCCG